CCGGAAATCAAGTACGTAGGTAAGCTGTCACCCACTTATTAACATCAGTACGATAATAAGCTCCACTATTAAAAATTAAAATGTGTAACTACGTTTGGTTGCTTCCACAATTAAGTGGTTCAGTTGATGTTAATCACTCCCTGCCTTGCAAATCAGCTACAATGGAACTCTGGCACTTTACTAACCTACATTGCCAAATGCCCATATTTGAAGAGATGTACGGTATAGATCTAAATGAGAAAGATTAATCAAGGACATGAAATTTCTCAAGGCGACAAATTGAATGGAGCAATAAACTTAGAGTAATTATGGCACGAGTGTATCAATTCGAGATATTTTGTGACATAAAAATTAGTTTGGGATAAATATGGCACTCTTGTACTAGTTATGGAGTGTTTGTGACCCAAAACACAAAAATTAGTTGGCAATAGGCACGTGTATACCAATTGGGGATATTTTGTGATGTTTTTTTTTTTAACAGAATCATCTTCATAATTATGAATCTCGATTGTTATTTGAAGATAAGTCTATAATTACTATATGAATGGTGATGGGTTGTAGAAAATAAAGTCGTACATACACGATTCATTACAAGATTGTTAGATTTAAGTAAACAAAATATGCGTTGACAATGACACATGAGAGGAAAAAAGATAGTTATAAAGAAGGCTCACCATAGAGTTTTGGAGTGCGATAGATAGACATGGAGGCACCATAATAATCAGTGTACGCAATTCTTGCATGTGGGTATTGTTCTCTCAAATTTTGCAATTCTTGCTTGAGGTACTTATTGTGATACTTGAATAAAGCATTATAAGCCTTGAGACACCCGGTTCTTCGGTCATAAGCGGATATATTAGCGCTTTGAAACAAAGTCAGACACGCGGAGATGCAACCTGTCGGCAACTGTCCCGGCACCACCAGATCCACAGCCCCTTCTTCTATCAGCATCTGTTATGGTCATGATGATTCAAGGATAAAAAGAAAAATAAAAAGGAAACTTGATAATAGTGAGAAATGCAATAAAAAAAAAAAGCAATCTCGAGACAAATCATATGGATCATTTTGTAGGTATACGTAAATCACTTTTGGGATCTGGTTCATGTACCACATGATCATACTTCTCTAATAGTCACCATGACCGTAGGTCAATGTTTATTGGTCACCATTTTGGCTATGTCAATGTTTCTTTGGGCTCAATTCCAAAAAAAAGCACGAACTTTAGGTCTTGTCCCAAATCTGACCCGAACTTTATTTTGTCTAAAAAAAAATCACAAACTTTCAACCGTGTCCCAAATCTGGCCCCCGTTAACTCTCCATCCACTCTCACCGTTAGTCATCCGACGTGGCTTTCCCACATCAGCAATTAAGGCACAAATGCACCATTACAGCAATAAAAGCAGATGTCCACCTCGGCTGCGCTTTCTCTTCTTCATCTCCTTCGCACGATTTTCTCTTTAGGGTTTTCTTTCTTCTTTCTTCTTTCTTCATCCGATACACGAGCGAGAGGCTTTGATTCGTCCGAAGATCTCGCACGCTCTCCCTCGCGCGCTCATCCTCTCACACGAAGTCGCTCGCTCTCACGCTCGGCCGTTTAGAGACTTGTTTCCGTCTGGAATTTTGAAGATCTCGCACACGTTCGGTCAAGATCAAACGAGCAAAATCTCGCGCACTTGGTCGCTCAGAGACATCAACTTGTCTGAAGAGCGAGCAAGCGAGCGAAGCGCTCGCTCGCTCGCTCATCCTCTCACACGGAGTCGCTCGCTCTCATGCTCGGCAGTTTAGAGACTTGTTTCCATCTGGAATTTTGAAGATTTCGCGCACAATTGGTCAAGATCAAGTGTGCAAAATCTCGCGCGCTTGGTAGCTCAGATACATCAACTCGTCTGAAGAGCAAGCGAGCGAAGATCTCGTGCGCTCGCTCGCTCGCTCATCCTCTCACATGGAGACGCTCACTCTTGCATGTACTCGCGCTTGTTCGCTCGAAGGATGCTCGCTTAAGGGTCGAAGAGGACAGAGTGTTGAAGTCATTAAACATAAGGTATTCTTCTTCTTCTTTCTCCCATGCATTTGGACATATTAAATTACGATCACCATGTGCTTAATGGTTTGTCTAGTAGTGATTTATCTCATAAAAACGAAGTCGGTGCTACATCCGAGTGTTTAGAGGAAGTGTTAAATTTAAGTCTTCCCTCTAGTGAGGTGAGATGATTCTCATGGGAAAATTCAGTAGCTTTAGTTCTATAGATAGGGCCATTAGATCAATTAACAAGCTGTTTACAATGTCAGAAGTTGAGTTGAAAGACTGCGTTCAAGCGAGATATTGAAAGCGTGTGCATCTTGTAGCTACATTCATTTTTAAAGAGACTTTTGAGTATAGAAAATGAATTCTTCTTCTTTTTCCTCCTAATCTATTGGAAGGCATTGAACTGAAGGATTAGTTCAGAAGGTTATGTATTTCAAATGTGTTCTCTAGCTATGGGTTGTCACGTGTTTAGATATTAGGAGCCAGAACTTATTTTTTCTTTATAGTTTCTGATCAATAAGCTGTTGTTTTGTGAAACTCTTTTCCTAATGTGAAGTGTGTCATAACTGCTTATTATGACATACAATTACTAAAGCTATTGTTGTCTTACTAGACATTTAATTAGTGCGATGAGTTCAACATTAAACTCCAAATGTCCAATTTTTTATTCTATTTTGTTTATAGGATTGGGCCGATTGGGTTCCAGGTCACCATCGTTTTGCTAGTGGAAAATTAAAGTATTGTCGATTGAATAAGTAACAATGGTGAGTTCATTCAATTGTTGGCCTTTTATTTTTAAATATTGTTTTTAGTTTCCAGTGTATGACTTAGTGTGTTTTTTCACAGAATGAAAGTGATAGTGATGATGGTTCATTAGACTTCTGTGATGATGAAATAAATATATCAGATGATGAAGAGATTAGAACAAGGAAGATGAGGAAAGATTTTAGGGAAGCAATAATTGAGGAGGTAGATGATGGTGGAGACCTAGCTGATGGTTCCATCGATATAAGAATGGAGGAGGAGTTTGGTGTTATTCCACATGAAGGTGGGGATGATGATGAAGATGCAATATCGGATGATGAACCTCTAAGTGGTCCCGATATTGATAATTTTGAAGAAGTTAGTGGCACAACTAGACGAATTGTTAATAGGTATGATCCTGTGTGTGACCATAACGAGAATGTGTTTAGTCTAGGTATGAGATTTGAATCTCGTGAACAGTTCAAGATAGCTGTGCAAAAATATGCGGTAATTAATGGATTTAACATTTTTGGCAAATGAGTCAAAAGAAAAGAATGGAAGCAAAGTGTGTGAGTGGTGTGGTTGGAGGTTGTATGGCGGTTGGGTTCAAAATGAGAAAACTTTTGTAATAAAAAGAGTTGGAAATCCACATAACTGCAATAGAAGCCTTACAAATAGGCAAGCCACTTCTACATGGCTTGCTCGTGAGTACATGCCTAAGATTAGAGCCAGACTCACTTATTCGGTTACCGAAATGCAAACAGATGCAAGAGAAAGATTTGCCTTGACCCTTGATAAAAAAAAATGTTACCGAGCCATATGGAGAGCTCTTAGTTGTATAAGGGGGCCGATAGGGAAGCAATATGATATACTAAGATCTTATTTGGAGGAGCTCAAGAGAGTTAGTAAAAATGGAAGATTTGAGATGGAGGTTAACACAGAAACCAAAGTATTTGAGAGGTTTTATGTGGGCTTTGATGAGTTGAAAATGGGCTTTTTAGCAGGATGTAGGCATGTGATAGGCTTGGATGGGTGCTTCCTTAAGACTGGATTGAAAGGTATGTTGTTATGTGCCGTTGGACGAGATGGAAATAATCAAATGTTTCCAATAGCTTGGGCAGTTATGGAAGTTGAGTTTGAGGCATCGTGGACTTGGTTTCTCGCTCGGTTATTTATTGACTTGAACGTGGACACGGGCGAAGGCTGGACTTTTATCGATGATCAACAAAAGGTAATATGTCACATTTGTCTTCATTGGCTATTACACTATATTGGTACAATCATTGTTGTGACCTGTTTGTTTTTTATTGGTTTAGTTTGGTTGTAGGGACTAATGAATGCAGGTTCATGGCTATCTCCACAAGCAGAGCATCGAAATTGTGCAAGACATATATATGCTAATTGGAAAAAATTACACAAAGGGGATGCTTTGAAGAATCTCTTCTGGAGGGCTGTGAGGTGTACATTTGAAGCTGATTTTGACCTGGTAATGGCAAATTTGAAGATGGAGTGTCCTAAAGGTTATGAAGACTTCATGAGGCAGGGCCCTAAGCACTTCTGCAGAGCTTTATTAAGACAGGTACCAAGTGTGATGCGGTTGAAAATAATTTAAGTGAGACCTTTAATGGATACATTTGCATACCGAGAGCAAAACCCATTCTGGAGATGCTTGAAGAAATACGAGCTATGTTGATGGAGAGAATGACAGAGAGAAGCCAGTTAATGGTTGATCAAATGGATCCAATTTGTCCAAGGATTAGAATGAAGTTGGAGAAGACTAAACTTGAGTCCAGGTATTGTTTTGCTAGAGCGTCTTTGGGAAATAAATTTGAGGTTGAAGGGGATGGCAATAGATTTGTGGTTGACTTGGCTGGGAAGACTTGTGCTTGTAGGGAATGGGATATCTCTGGTATACCATGTAGACATGCCATATGTTGCATTGCTTTCATGAAATTAGACATCAATGATTATGTTGATGATTGCTTTAAGAAAGAAGCTTATGAAAAATGTTATCAATTTCCCTTCCCGGTCATGAATGGAGAAAAAATGTGGCTCAAAGTCAATGGTGAGCCAATCAAACCCCCACCTTACAGAAGGAAAAGGGGTAGAGAGAAGAAAAATAGAATCAAGGATAAGGATGAGCGAAGTAGAGACGGTAAGAAATTGACGAAAGTTGGAGTTCAAATGCGATGTTCAAATTGTCGATAAGATTTTTGTTGGGTTATCACAAATGATATCATTGGTATTTCTTGTGTTTTTTCACATGTAGGCAAGAAGAGGAAGACCAAAGAAAACTGATGGGGCTAGTGGTGCGCAAGCTAGTTCACAAGCTAATAGATCATCTAATGGGGACTCCACTATCATTAGGAAGGAGAGAGCACAGGCTAGTGCTTTATCAGGCATAATTTTATTTTCATACCACATGTATATTGTGATTAATGTTTGATACTCATTTTGTTTCTTTAGGCAAGACAAGGATATGGACTTTTCATATCTGAAGCTACTGGGAATTCCTATTTAAGGGTAATCTATGTCTAATGTTTTATATGTGTGTCAAAAAGAAAAGCTAAGTTCGTATGTTTATTTTTTTCATTGCAGATGCCGGGTAGTGATAGAGTTATTGACTTTGGAGGTCCATCCATTTCCAAGGGACAAACAAGAGCAAGGAATGTTGTTGAAGTTTCACTAGGCCAATCTTCTACTAATATCTCAGAACCTCCATGTACTCAAGAATCTAGAATTGGTGGTTAACCGTGAAATTATGGACCCGAAAATGCTTGTGCAGTGCCTTCTACTAGATGTTGAGTTGTAGACTGAAAAGTGCTAGTTTTTGTTGTTTGTAAGTAGATTTGGCTATGCATTATGTGTTTGGGGATTTGGCGATGTCATTTTGTATATGTGATGTTTTGGCTATGCACTATGTGTTCGGCTGGTTTCGAAAGCTTGCCAAGAAATGAGGCAGAACTTGGAACGTTTGGATTTTGCAAATTTAGATTTTGTAACATGTAGGTAGCGTATATAGAAAGAGTTTATTTTCAGGAACTTGTAGAAGGTTATAGCATGATATTTTGGGATATATATTTTGTTCACAGGTAGATTCCATAAAAGATGGTGGCATTAAAGAGGAACTTCCTTTCACAAAACAGCAGCATTTGCTTTCATCCAAATCTGCATAATCCTTATCACTTTAAAATAAAAATGAAATGGGATAGCATTCGCCTTCCTGATCGTGACCCCAGAAAGAGAGAGAGAGAGAGAGAGAGAGAGAGAGATGGGTCATATAAAGTCTTGAGGTGGTGGATGCAGTTTCAAATTAGTGAACCAAGCTTTGTAAGACCAATGCCTATTGCCTACAATTACTCCATCCTTGTATGCCGACAATGCCAGCTTCTTTCTTAGTCATTTGATATTTCTAAACAAAAGGTGTTGTGTAATGCTAAAACGATTGATTTTCCTATGAAATTTCTATGTCTTAGCAAGACTCCGCGATACAAGGTTTTGATGCAAATGTAAAACAAGATTGTTTCTTTAGATCGGTCCGTTTTCAGGTAATTGACAATATCAAGTATCTGAAATGGTTCTATCCATGCATTTGTAACTCTGGCCTGAATTTTGGTTGATAGGGTCCGTTCTTGTATGCCTGCAAGTCACATGTCTTAGCCATGTACTGCATAAACTGTTGCAGATGGAACCACATTTGAGGAAAAAAAAAACTCAAACTCTTGCCGCGACTCTATCGTCTTCAAGTTCAGAACTTGTTGAAACCCAATTAATTTTTTTTCTCCTTTTCCCCTTTCTTTCGGTGCAAAACACAAGCCCAGTTTGCGAGACATACCTATTCGCTTCTAACTTAATAACATAATCCAATGACCAAAATGTCAAAGCAACAAAGGCAATAAAGAACCATCCAGGAGATTCAGAGCCCTTTATGCAAGAACAAACTCAAACAGAGACAACGATGCAACTCCTGCAGAAATGCTGTGATCCATTTAACCGACTTCGTTCAAGCTGTGACATATCTCGGCTCACCCCTCCACATAAGCCCAATAAACGAATATTATTCGCCAATGTAAAATGAATCACCTAGCATATTCTCCAAACTGTCAGGAACATAACCTAAATTAGAGAATTTACAAACATCCTAACCTGATCGAGGTGGCAGCTTTGTTACATTAAATGGGTCACTATTTCAATTTAAACACTTCTAAATCCTCTACTCTACTCAGACAATTAGCTTGATGCCAGTAATATGAGGCCTTGATCTGATGTTAGCAACAGCTCTTCCAAATCAGCAACCCAATAACAACCATTATGTTCACTTTGGTGCATCATTAGCAACTGGAGATACTGGTTCTTCCCGACATAAACATTATCAGATGGAAACTCCAGCAGCTGAGTTTAATCTAACACATCCTCTCTTTCAAATGAATGCATTAAGTCTATCACAAATAGGCTTCACATCTCTGTTCAACTGCAAGATGCACACGCTTTCAATATCTCGCTCCAACTTAGCTTCTGACATTGTGAACAGCTTGCCAATTGTTAATTGATCTAATGGCCCTATCTACGGAACTGAAGCTGCTGAATTATCTTTCATCACTGGAGGGAAGACTTAAATTTAACACTTCCTCCAAACACTCGGATGGAGCATCGTTCTGCGAGATAAATCAACTGACTTCAAATTCCATGAGATAAATCACTTCTAGACAAATTATCGAGCATATGGTGATCGTAATTTAATAAGTCCAAATGCATAGGAGGAGGAGGAAGAATAATACCTTCTGTTCAATGCCTTAAACACTCTGTGTCACGCCCCGACCCTCGAGCGCACTAACATCCCACCAAGGTCGTTATAAATGCGACGTCCCAGGATGCATCGCCGACCCAATCGAATTACTAATGATTAAACGCATGCGAAAGCGAATTAAAAACTCCCAATCATAACAACAGGGATAGTCGAGGAAAACACACCTCAATTCAAACAACATCATCAAGAATACATCGGGTTAATATATTACAAGAACACCACGCGGACCTTCCCGATTACAAACCGAAGTACGGGTTAACCTAGCTCCTCTATCTACGAGGATAACCTCAAAAAGTGTTCTCCCTCAAAAAGCCGGTTCCCAAGGAACGGTACGTGTACTCATATCGGATGACCCGAAAAGTGGTTAACAACAACGAATGAGATAAATCTCGCGAGTTCACGACCTAAGCCTCGACTAGGAGGTCAACTCATCTCGGATGTACCTAACACATGCAATACATCGATGGCGGAGACAACTCAATATAGAACATACAGGTACTTCACAACACAATCACAAGCAACCTTACCTTGCCACAGGCACATGCACACGCCCGTACATTATGATTCACCGTATGCCATAATAATGCAATAAGCATATAATACAATCGAATACGCATCAATTTTCTCAAGTACAATGCATTCACACGTGTCCCGATTATAAAGTGAAACCGCTCGGCCCGTCCCATACCGTGCCTAGCAATTTCATCTCATAATCAAGCGCAATGCCACCATAATCTTTCACGCGTATTCCACCATTACTACAGCCACACCAGGGGCTACGGCACAACCCGTGATATTCGCCTCAGGTTGGCAGTCTTCCGGTATATCCGGGCATCGTCCCGCCCCATCGGGCACGGCATCGTCTCACCCAACCACAATGACGGCATATCCCATAAATGGGTTCATTCCGAATCCGATTCGCGAATGACTACGTCTCCCCCGCTACCCATGACGGCCCAATTACCAAATTGGGGACACCCGTTAGGGCCACGGCCAAACCCTAGGTTGGCGGTCATCCGGTATACGGTTTTCCGATATAACCGGGCACGAAAGGAACCTTTAGGTGATCATGCACACATAGCAACACTCAGGTTCCATCATTATAATTTTCAATAGCCAATGCAAACATAATCCGTGCTAATACGTTGAAATATCCAACTTCTCCACATAAAAAAATGTACTAAAATATTCACACGTGATTATGCACATATCAATAAATTTCCAAACTTGGCATGCTTCTATATTCAAGTATACACAACATAATTCTCACATAAAACTTAACAAATAAACCCGACACCTCAGGGTTTATTAATTAAATACCCGACATGCTATACTCAAAATTAACCAAACAATTCAATTTGGCATACAAACCAATATATAAGGCAAATTCTAACTTAGGCATCACAATTTAAGCCTAAAATAAACACAATTTAATTTCGGAATTTCCACAAAAATATTAATAAAATAATAATATTTTTAATTCCGAAAATTAATAAAATATTATTATTTAATTTCCGAAAATTAATAAAATAATAATATAATTAATCCAATAGATTATCACTAATCCCTAATCAATTAGTACTAAGCACAATTAACTTAAACTAATCCGCTCTAATGAAGTTTAACCTACTAAGCAAGGGATTAGGGCGATAACTCACCCGTTTAAAATTCCGGAGACACCGGTGCGTCGGCGGCGAGGGGCTACGCTTGCACGGTCCGGAATCGACACGGAAAGACGACGACGACCCGGTCTCGGCCGGGCAGAGGCCACGTAACCAGGTTTGGCTTCGGTGAGGCGATTTGGCGACGAAAACGGCACGGACGGGTTGCGCACGGCGGCGGGAGTCACGGCGTGGCTGTTGGTTGCTCCACGGCGGCAACACGGCGGCAACACAACAGCAAGGGGGCAGTTCGTTTGCTCACCGAAGGAACAACAACAAAAAGAGAAAGGGGAAGTTGCCGTGGAAGAGGAAAAAGGAGAGAGAGAGAGGAATGGACGCGGGAGGGAGAAGAGAGGAACAAGAGAGATATTTCTCTTCTTTAATGCATGCCCTATAAGTCTTCATCATCATTCCCCCACATAAATGCCAAACCCCCAAAGTCTTCTTCATCATTTCTTTGGTTTCTTTGTCATAAATGCAAGAAGGGTATTTTGGTAATTTCACAAGGTATAAAAATACTTATACGCGTATACGAGCTAGAATTTCGTACGGGCTCGTATAACCGAATTTGGGCTCAAACGGATTATGAATGGGCTTGAAAATGCTAATGGGCTCAAACTTGGGCTTGAATTGCAATTGGGCCCGAAATTGGATTCAATGGGCTAAATTGGGCCACTTGGGTTTGCCTTGGGCCCATGTGGCCAATCACATTGGGCTTGAGGCCCAATGTGCCTTCGTCCGGCCCACTCCTCGTGGGCTCAAATTCTCGGCCCGTTAAATCCTTTTCCGAGAATGTCGAGCAAACCGATAAACGAGCAAATCAATGAGGCGGTGTCCAATAATTTAGTTTTGAAATCCTCGAAGATTCGACATCCAAATTCGGATTCTAATTCGTGGTAAAAATCAATCAATTGCGACTTTAGTATATCTCAAACTAACGGGCGGCTTTTAGAGTTACGCGATTCGACCCGTGGTTGATTCGGTATCAAACCACGTTTAAGTTTTCTCGAATCATGGATGATCTCGATTGTCATGTAATTGCGAGGGATCAATCGTCGAGTTCCAAAGTACGCGATCATCGGTCCAATGGGTTTAGGATCGTTCGCAATACATACAACGGTCAAACGGAATCACCCGCGATCCGATCATATACTATTGGCGAATCATTCTATAACCATCCCTTGATCGGTCTATAATGGCTCAAAATTGTCCCTCGTCAATCCTTATGGTCGAATTGTCAATCCCCGATCGAAGTTTTCGGTCGTGCGTATTTAATTCCTTAATGACCTTTCCCAATCGGTTAGTCTCTCATGAGTGATCAATTCGGAGCGAGAATTACTAATAGTGCATCGATTAAAATCATCATTTCATTACATTCCGAATATGGTCGAATTTGAGGATGTCACAACTCTTCCTTCTTAAAGAAATTTCGTCCTCGAAATTTACAAATAACCATACTATTAAAAAAGATGGGGGTGTTGATGCCTCATTACTTCTTCGCTTTCCCAAGTTGC